ATGTATGTATGTATGTATGTATAGTGCTGCGAGCCAAAGCTGGGCTAGAGAAACTCTCAATTGAACCGAAAAAAAAATTCAAGTGTTTATATTGGTATTTTAATATACTTGTATTATTATCTACTTTGCGTCTTTTTCACTAGCCTTCGATTCGCTTTGTACAATAAAACCTCGCATCAAAAAACCGTGATAATATAGTACCAAAGGTACAACAAAATGCCTTCTATTTGTCATTTCATTACGTTTACCTGGATGCATATGATCGTCACATTTGGTATTTATTTCTTGTACAGATGTTATTCGACACACCAAGACGTTCCAATATAAGACAGTAACACTCGGCAAAATGTACATAAATATTTTTGATCATATATACCCTTGCGTACGTTCATAAATCTTATTGAGGCCGATTGAGCATAGTTCAATTCAGGTCTGTATGTGCATGACAATCACGCACAATGTGACCAGCAAACCACAGCGCAGTATACCTCGCCATTGAATTCGGTGCATATTCCATACTGTGTATATATTATTTTATTGAAGCAGCGTGGAGACTATGGTAGGTATATCGAGCTTTTTAAGATCCCTATATGTTTGGCCTGTTCCCACAAATATCACCGGCTTGCCTGTTGTGTATGTCATGGACACTGCGGCGCCAACCTGTCAGATTTGATACGTTGAAAGGGGTCAGTCTAAATACACACATCTCTGCACGTGTATTCTACGTATTCTGGAAGTATTGGTTTATGCGCATCTGCGTTCAACTATGACGAGCTCCGATTTAGTATCTGCACAAATGTGAGGACATTTTACTTGCACATTGCTGCCAGGTACTCTGCACACACACTGCGGAAACGGCCTCTATCATATGGTGTGCGTCTATGGACACACGTACACACGATTATATTCATGTATTCACGTGTAAGTGTGGATACATACGACTAACCTATGAGCTCCGCTTGTGCATCGAAATTCAAACCTCAACCATGGTTTACTATAAATCATCCCTCCGATCGAAGACTGCCAGTCGGATTGCTAAGCTGAACGAGTACAATATACTACGTGATCGTTGCTATCATGTGTCTATACTGTTACTCTGTACGTACATGGCTGCTCTGCAGCGAGTAAATGTATTCGACGCTACGTCTGCTATTGCAGGCATACATCTAGAGTATCAAAGTATATACACATGCACATTACCCATACGATTCATCACAGACAGATATATATGTCGGATAGAGTGGTAAGAAAAATTACCTTGTCGTCGATAGTGTCGAATTTAGTTAGGATCATGCCATCAATCAGACGGGGTGCGGAATCACTCTGCAGAACAATGGATAGGAGAGCGAAGAGGGCGTCAGCGCACATCATAGTAATTGAGTATGTATTCACAAATACACACATATTTATATATACATATAAACATTACATCCACATCCACAAACACAGACACATACACACACACACACACATACACAGACACAGACACAGACACAAACACGCACACACACACACACACACACACACACACACACACACA